ACGCCACTCTCGATGCAGTGGTATAATTATATATTTTCATGCTCCATGCAGTTTCTGCCAGGCTCCATTGAGCGCTACAAGGCTCCTGCAGGTCATTCAAGGCACATTATTGTGATGGTGCGAGGTAACATGTACAAAGTGGATCTGACTTGCACCAATGAGGACGGACAAGAGATTGGTACAGCCAATAATGATCTAAGAGTAAGTAGTCAAAACTGTGCCCACGTAAACAATGTAAATGTTTAGCTTATTTCACTCTATTTTCGACTGCAATTTGGATTGCAAATGTTATCAGTTTACAACTGTACACTTAAATGAACCGAGCATTCTTTCAGGGCCCGTGAAAGTCTGGGAATACCACGATTACAATGGAATGATAACGACAACTAACAACTCGTCTTTTACGTACAGAATATAAACGATGATTGACAATTTTATTTTCCAGTGAGTTGATTAATCCCTGAGAAAAGATATAGTATCAAGGAATACCAGACATTTTTGGATGGCAAAAAGAAGGAAGATTTACTTTTGTAGTCACGTACACCCTCACGCTCGTTGTTTGGAATGTTTCGCGGCCTCGCCAGTTTTCTAATGGTTTGCTCCTTTATTTCTGACAACAGAAACAAATGAAGGAGATCTTACTGACGGATGCCTGTAGAGAATCATCAACTCCAATAGCTGTTCTAACAACCATGACTCCACCTAACAGATGCCAAGAAGAACAACTTCTCAAGTGCCTCAGCGAACGAAACGTCACAAATCTCTCGCTTGTCCGCGATGCCCTCTTCGTCGTCGCGCTCGACCCTGACGATTCTCCGAGAACAGTAAACGAAGCCATGTTCGCGCTTCACTCGGGAAACTTCATTAACCGCTGGTATGATAAAAGTGTACAGTTGGTTGTTTTCGGTAACGGAGTGGCAGGATTCGTCAATAACTATTTAGCAGCGATGACAGGAACAGTCGGCACAAACTTCGTGCGAATTGCTGTGGGAAATGAAGGTTTGTGTGAGGAGCATGCAATAAACGGTAAGTAGTTATCCATATTTTGGTTTGTGTACGCACTCTATAAATAGATTTGTTATTCATTGTCAAATGTAAACATCTCTAGCGTATTTTCGGTTGTTTTCTTCTTCACGAGTGTATGAACAGTAAAAAAACGGAAGCTTTAAAATGGAAAAAAAAATGTATTCTTTTACGAACGAATGAGTGATAAGAAGAGCAAACGAACTAACCAGAACTAACGAATGAAGGAAGGAAAGAGGAAGAAGGAAGGAAGGAAGGAAGGAAGGAAGGAAGGAAGGAAGGAAGGAAGGAAGGAAGGAAGGAAGGAAGTGCAAAAATTAGAAATAAAAAATTGATTAAAACAATGGCAAAAAAACAATGAACATTGGCAACACATACACTATCTTTTCTATGAGAATATTGTTTGTTTTTTTTTCTGCTCAGGCTAAACATTCTAATTTTTCGAGTTTGGGCTGAAAATATTCTTGTGAATTCTTAGATTACAGCGTGTGACATTTCCGTTTTAGAATATATTGGGTTATCAATTACAAGTGTTTGGTGTTAAAGTGTATTTGGAACCAAACTGTAGGCATTAATAATGGTAATAGGATTGAGTGGAGTCCAATTCGGTCTGTAATCATACGAGTGATTAACAAAATCGGACGACCGCGAAGCGGGAGTCCGATTTGTTAATCACTAGTATGATTACAGACTGAATTGGACGACGCGAAGCCCTGTTACCAATTAATCAAAACTATGACAAAATTCGAGAAAGAACAAACCATCGATTGAGCGCTGAACGATTAAACGTCGTTATGAATGCTGAAAAACACAGCAGTTTACTCAACAAAGTGCACCGCAGCAGCGCGCGCAAAATGACGCGTACTGTCCTATTACAYGCATGARGCATACACTGTCCAATTAATGCTCAAATCGGGCTGCTGATAGCCAATCACGTTCGAGAATTTTGTTATAGTTTTGATTAAAACCTGATATGCAACACATAACTTCTTTCAGAAATGTTATTAGCGTCGAACATTCTTTTCAAAATCTCAGCCTCGAGTTTATTCCTAAAATATTCTTAAAATTTCGCAAATTTCTTATACAAAAAGAGTGTGAGGGTCAAAAGAAGTCGCAGCCATCTAGGCCATCTAGCTAAGATCTAATTAAACCTCATGGGCTCAATAGCCCATGAGGGAAGCCGAATGGGCTATTGAGCCGTGGCCCTTGAAGGCGAAGGGTCTAATTGTTTTAGTATCACCCAACTAGTCGGACAGAAAGGGCAATAATAAAGTTAGCAAAAGCAAGTTGAAGAAATATTTATTTGAGAATAAAACGAAAGAAAGCGTCACGCTCGATTACGCCAATTTCACTACTCGAGGACTATTACTAATAGTCCGCTAGTAGCGTAGCCAATAAAAATGCAGAATTTGCATTTGTCCACTAGTTGGGTGATACTAATGGGTATTATCACTTTGAAATATTTGATTAGATGACGTTGACGTGACGATCTCGCCAGAGCCTTTTGCTATCAGGTGGGATGACACTGCAGACGGGTATTTCAAGCAAAAGATTAAAAGTGTAATCAAGACCAATCGAACATCCGGGCCCTTTAAGCCAGTGTCTCAAGACGTGTTTAAAATCTGCCCTGGCTACAGTTTTGAAGAGTTGTGTAAGGAACATCGGGTTACCCCAGGTGGCGCTTTCCAAGCTGGAATGCAGCTGGCGCTCTCGAAGATTGCTGGAAGATGTATGAGTGTGAACGAAGTGGTCAGCATAAGGTAAATTTGAAGCACAGACTTGAAAAGAACGAAAATAAATACATGAAGGACAAACGAACGGACGAATTACGAACAGACCAACGGAGGAACGGACAACGGACCAACGGACGAACGGGCGAACGGACGAACGGAGGAACGGAAGAACGGACGAATCGAATGAATGAATATACATAATCGACCTCTTAGCTATAGATACACAACATTTTAAAGCTTAATTTCCCTTTCGCACAGTTTACAGCATCCTTTTCCTTGTTCGGTGTTCAAATATTTTAATTTTCCAACAACTGATCAGAGGTTTTTTTGCTTTACCAGGCACCTTCGGTTTGGTGGAATGACATTAATGGACAGCAGTATGGCAGACATGAAGAAATTCGTCGAAGAAGCACGCAGATCATCACTGAGCATGAGTGAGCAAGAACGCTTGGCACTTAAGTCTCTGCTGAAAGAAGCGATTCAAAGCTACAAAGACGAAGTCCTGCGATATAAGAACGGCGAAATCAATCTATGGCATTTAGACTCTCTGTATAGAAATCTTGGTCTGACCAATCGCCTTCCATTTCGAAAAGCTCCACGATTAGGACTGTTGAAAAATGTAAAAGAAATTGTTTTGGGATATATTAGAGCACCTCAACTCAATATACTGCCACCCCAAGTCGCTGAAAACGTGACGTCCAATCCCTGCTGGTACCCTGAGATCGAAGCGATCGGGAGGCCTGGGGTCAAGTGCATTCTCCCACCCACATCAATGGCCCTACATTACATGTTTGGGAGAAATGCGATTTCCATCACAGTGAATGCAAATCCTGATCATCCTTGCTATAAAAATGAGGAGACCTTTGTCAAAGAACTCGAGAGTTCCTTGCGATTGGTCAAAGATTTGCTTAATACAAAATAACAACAACAAATTGCGATCTTCAGTTGTTTCAGTAAAATATAGTGGCATTCCATTACCATTGTATTTCCAAGAAATCAAGAAAATAACAAAACTTCTTAACCACAGATAATAAGTAAACATAAAATATACAATGTACATTCTTTAACCAGGTTCCCGCCTGTGACACATTCAGAAGTCGAGTTTGTCATTAGGTATAAGCACGAAAAATAAAAGACGAAAACTAACCCCAACATCTCTTTGTGACAAACATAATCAGTTACATGTCATTTAATTTCGAAAAAAAAGTGGCCAACATGGATGACAGATTCTAAGGTGTTTAGATCACGGTTTTAGCATTTAAATTATTAAATTATGATCGCAGGATCAGATTGTACGTACTCCACGGCGGGCTGGGCAGCTCTGCAATTATCAGAGGCTCTCTCGGCTGAACTAGTTGATACTCTACACAAAGGCTGCAATTACTCATTGCTTCCGCGAAATGATTGCTCATACCAGACCGGAATTAAACCAAGCATCCTTGACCCGTCTCAGACAAGCTTGTTGTCGTTGATTCGCTTTATCATTTCTTTGTGTAGTGTAGTCCCGTTGTACACTCCGATTTCATCCCGATGATCCTAATACTAAACAGTAGACCCTTTTCATAAATGACTACCAATTTTTGAATAATTCCTGAATTAGCCTCACTAGCCGCCTTTGAGAGGAAACATTCTTTTGAATTAGCCACTCAAAAACGAGGTTAGTCAGGCTAATTTTAATACTTACAAAAGGATTTATAACTGGCAACCATTTAAAAGAAGGGTCTATTATGGGGGGTGCTATCAGTCTCTCGATTTTTTGCTTTGTTTGCGGTCATCCGTAGGACAGTCTGAGTCTTTGGAGTTGGTTATCTACTTCAGTAAGGCACTGGATTTTCTCTATAGGCCATCGTTTGAAATTCTCAGGAATTCAGCCACGTTGAATGACACCCAGTTCCAAGCTAAGGCAACAGACCTCTTTAATTTGTGTTCTGGTCTGAGACAATTCCTAGGGGTCTCCTTAGGGGGGCATTACATGGCATTGGTACTCCAGAGAGCCTATCGGCAAGGAACATATCACTTCCTTTCTTATAATGAACTTGAGGTATAACTTCTGTAGACGAAGAAGCATGCATGGCTGCTGTTAAAGTGGATCGAAAACAATGGTCACAATCTGTACGTTGACGGACTCGCTACATAACATGTACTGGTTAAATCTCTCGCAAGGAAAGACCAAAAACCAAAAACTATTTCTGTATTTTCAGAGCCAAATCTCTCTCTTTTGATGTCAGGCACCACAGGCTGGCCATCCAGGAGCACGGCTGCACCCAAACCAGTCTAACTACCGTCGCACATATGGTGACCGGTGGTCTGCCATTGGTTGCTTGACACGGTCAAATGCATCTTGGTGGTGTTTCTCACTCATCCAGTCTGCGTTCTTGTCAATCAATCAATCAATCAATCAATCA